GTGGAGACTTGTTTCATGGAGAAAATAATCCAAGGCATTGACTGATTAAACCGTCGAAACCTCGATTCCCGACTGTATGGAACTCTGATTCACCTATATCTTAACAAAGACAAACTTGAAATAGGTTAAGGTTAGATAATAAAATAAAAATGATCCTAAAATGATGAAGAAGATCTAAGGGGCCAAAATTTTGGGTGCAACAGGGAGAAATAATGGTAAGTATTTAATTAGAAACTGAACCCATTAAGTACCTATTCTTCATTTATACATATTGGTCATTTATAATTTTATTATTTATATTTCTGTTATTACGGTTATCTTGCTCGGGTGACACATTTTAACTTTCTTGTACATAGAACTAAGGAAGAGCTTACAAACCTCAACCTTAGCCTATCATACTTAGAAGGATCTTACAAACCTAGTATTCTAATGTTTCCAAAGGAAGTTAAAATATTATCTTTGGTTTTCTTAAATATGGAACTAGGGGGAGCTTAGAAACCTCAATCTTGGAACTGTTTGACTCAGGGGGAGCTTACAAACCTCAAACTCTGATGTTACTAATAAAACTAAATTACTTTTTCTTGAAAGTAGTACCTAGTATGAAGTCTACAAACTCATCTTTAAGCTATTAGACTCAAGGGGATCTTACAAACCTCATACCCTGATGTTGCAGAGAAAATTATAACTGTCCGACTTTGTCCTTTAAATACTTGTGTTTGTCATAATAAAAAACGGGTAGATTGTTAGAACATGATTTGTTCATGACATATCGTCCTTGGGTTTTGATGATAACATAGTATTCAAAGAATAATTGTTTATTTTATGTGTGTTACATGTGTGCAGGTTCTAATACTTGTAAATCTTATAGTAAGAATATGTGTTACATTAAACACACTTTGAGGGTTGCTGAATTGCTAGCTTTTGGTGGCAGAATATGAAGAATACTTGCTAAGTGATGTCTGGTGTAGACTCTGAAGCTGAAGGTCTCAGCATCAGAAGAAGCAACATAATTGTCTCTACATTTAATGAAAGCAAATTGGCTTCTGTTACCATTTAGAGTTGGTGATAAAGCTGAAGATGTCCGTACTGCAGAAAGTAAGTTGTATTGTCAAATCAGTTTGTCAACTAGAGTCTACAGATTGCAAGGCTCAAGAAAGCTTGAGATGCTTTATGGATATCTACTCTTAATGGCTGTAATAGTACATAATCTCTTGAATACTCAAAGGTTAAACATGTTATACATTAGATCAAGATCTTCTAGTGTATCTATCTTCAATGGCTCTTGTATTATGGAGTAACAACAAAGACTCTTGATCCAGTTATCTCTTTAACGACTAGTTTCTAAAAAGGCTATAAATATGGCTGAAGGTTCAAACTGAATCTTTAATAAGGATCATCTAGAAGAAGGAGTAACGAGATCAACAATTATTAACACAATTGTAAATTCAAATTTTCTATTGTAGGTTATAATTGTAAAAGCCTTAAGATTTCTTACACATTGAATATCTTAGAAATATTAAGTTATTTACAACTTTGTTATGGTGATTTCTCGTACCTCTGATACTTGTATCATGTACACCTTGTTCTCTATTCTGTTAAGCTTGTTCAGCAATTTAGATAAAAGTCTTGTGTCATTGGATACAAGCAAGGAAGTTTCGAGCCAAGATGCTTATGCCATATAAGTCTCTTATTATGTGATTGAGTTGTGAAAGTCTTAGTCAAGTTGGTTGATTGAGCAGAAGTTTTGTATCATTGGGATACAAGCAAGGAAGTCTCGAGCCAAGATGCTTGAGTCACGTAAGTCTCTTGCTATGTGTTTAAGCGGTGAAATTCTTAATCAAATAGATTGATTGAGCAAGGTTACTTAGTGCATGAAATTTGGAGCAGTAAGTATTGTATTTGAGGGATCAAGCAGGGAGGCTCGTTTCATGGCACCTGGAGCAGAAGTCTTGAGCCAGTGTGGCTTGAGCAGGAGAGCTCAGTACATGGAATTGGAGCAATAAGTCTTGACTATAGGGGTTCAAGTAGGGAGAATCGTTTCATGGGATTTGAAGCTGAAGTCTTGGGATGAGAGCCTGAGCAAAGAAGTCTTGGGTTCGTGGAACCTGAGAAGGAAGTCTCGAGTGAGTAGCTTGAGCAGAAGTCTTGGACCTTGGGCCTGAGAAATTGTAAAAGTGTTATGCAGAATGCGTAAGCGATTATAATCATGTTTTGATAATAATGAAAATATCTTGTGAAGCAAGGGGATTATACAACTCTCGGTTTAGGAGGAACCAGTATAAATCTTTGTGTCTTCTACTATTACTTATCTGCTTCTGTTAACATTCTGCTACTAAGAATTAACCAGAATCTGAACACCAATTTAGATTCTAAACTTGACCAGATGCAAACTAAGAAAATGTAAAACACAATTCAACCCCCCTTCTTGTGTACTTTTCTCACCTTCAAACCACATATCACATTAAATCTCCAATTTTTGTTTGCCAATATGTAACCATGAACCTTAAACAAATACTCACATTTTCTATTACCCGTGTCATCTCTTTTAAGATTTCGGAGAGGAGTTTGATATCTCCCACTTCTTTCGCACAATATTGTCACGGAGGCGCATCTTCTATCTGAGCCATTATCGGACCTTCCGATTACCATACCAAATCCAAGTCTAGATGCCTCCATGTGAATCCATTCAAGCATTTTATCACGATTTTCAAACTCTTACTTGTTATTAAAGTCGTTTCCAACATTTACCGCCTTCACAACAACCCCTTGAACATTCGGAGAAACTACTGGTTTTGGAAAAATGTCGGGGAGCACCACTTCTATTAAAAATAATTAAAACAATAATAAAATATTAATTAATCTACTATTGCATAAGGGATGGAAAATGAACAAAGACACATTTCAAAAATGTATCTCCGGACAAATTCATGCACTTTTCGAAGATACATATCCGAAGACATTGTAAGCTTTTTATAAAAAAACATTGATGATTAATTTGAGCAATGTAGAGAAAAAACAACAATCTTTACCTAAATTTCTATCTTCTTTTGCTCCCTGTGATATGTTGAAACAAAAGGCTGGAGATTTGGAGTGAAAAAAGGAATTGAGAATGAAGGGTTTTTAGGGTGAGAGTTTATGTTGAGAATGGAGTATAGTAACAATAGGGGACTGATCATGCAGTTGGAAGCTATATCAAATATTTTCAAAGATGCATCTTCGAAAATACCTAAAATTTAAATTTTCGCAACCTAAATGTATGACACGTGTCAGATTTTTTAACTGTGCAACTGCACCCTTGTACCGCCGTTGATACTCTTCAACGAGACACTCAACCCACGACCTGTGGGGATACTTTTGATACAAGTACGTCGTTGATTTTTCAACTAGAGAGCATTGAACATTGAGGGGCTTTTTCCTTTCTAGAGCAACCTTTGTGAAAGACACGCCACATACTCACCCAAAACCTTAAGGTGATAGGTGTATGAGTTCTCTCACTTATAAATGCTAAAGTCACTACATTTCTATCCAATGTGGGACTATTATCCACACTACTCGCACTTGTTAATACTTAACATTGATTGCATATGTATAGGGTGATGTCAAAATTATCCAAGATCAACATTCTTGATTTCTATTTAACAACATACAAATAGTTTCGTGATTTTGGCTAAGTGATTGTTGAATTTTTCCCTTGGAATAAATAGGAAAAAATGGATTGATTCGATCCGATTTATTATCCCCAATCAATCCTAAACCAGCTGGGTCATTTTTTTTCTTCTGATATATGAAGTATTCGACTTTACTAAGTCAATTCTTAGAAAATACTCAATCAAATCATTTGTATTTACTTCAATAAAAGAAGCGGGGGCCTCCTCAATCGAAGAAATTTTTTTGTCGTCATTCCAATGGAAGACTAAACAAGTCCGAAGGAATGGAATCCTTGTGTCAGAAATTTCCCGAATGGATTTTTCAATAAAATTGACAACTTTTAGCTCCGGATTATCCTTTTTCTGGAATAGATCTTTGGGAAAGAGTTTTACAAAAGGGATAGTGTCCGATATTTCATATAAAATTACAGGTCGAACCAAAACAATTTTTTTTTTCTTTTTTTTTAGTAGTTGCAATCCATTTGACATAGATCTCCCATCTTTAATTTTTTGCATACGAAAAATATATCTCTGAATTTGAAAGAACATATGTTAAAATATAAGGTATATAAATCGAAGAGACATATGTGAAAATCCACACAAAATGCTAGAGGTGTATAGGGTACAATAAAAAAATCTTCTAGTAATTAAGTTATATATATTGCCTACATGTAAGAATTAGACTCAAGTGGGTGTTTCGGTGAAACTCAGGGTTTCCAAAAATACAATTCAGGATTTAGAGGATTATTTTATAATTTCCATAGATTATTTTTTCACCACTTAAAAGATTGAATAAGCAATTCCCCTGTGTTTCATCTATCACCGGCGTCAATTATGCTTGGCCCATTTCATAATGAAAAATGCACTCCACCGTTCACTTACTAACCCATTATAATTTTATATTTATTCATTCTTTCATTTAATTTCTAATCATAAAATTAATTTAGACAAAGTAATTAACTATGTTTACCAGTGGAAAAAAAAAAGACGGAACAAACGAGTATGGTTCAAAACTTAATCTTTCACAGGTTTCTTGGAGGTGGTGATTATGGCTTTTGAACTGCTCAAAAATGGTATCAGTTTTTGGATAATAGAAAGAAAAAATGATCCACCACCATACTTCTTAGAAATTTGAATTCTTCCTACCAAAATTTTGACTAGAAACGCAGGATACTGCACAACTTCTACATACTACATGCTTAACATAAACAGCAGGACATACTACCATGCTATAGAGATACTCAGAATCATTACAATTTTTCTCATATCATTACAATTTAGTAGGTGGTTATGAGATTAATGATACCACCATTGTATTATAACTTCAAACCTACCTAAAAGCAACAAAACTAATTATAGCTCATAGTTTTTATTATTCATAGGAAAAAATTGTAATACTAAATCCTTGGCAACTTTGATCAAATCCTTCAAATCATTGCCACCAAGTAAAAGACAATCTTTGATTAACCCACCTTCCACAACCTCAATTCGCAGAATCTTCACTATTTCCCTCACCATTTCCTGCCAAACCATATTCCAAAATTAATATATATGCAAATGTCAAAGTTTTTTCAGTATAAGTTTGATTCTTCTATAGCAAAAATCTATTTAAACTAGAACTTAAAAGCAAATGCATATATAAAGGGTAGGTAGAACCAACTTAATAGTCATATTCAGTAAATGAAACATGCAACAAAAGTAAATGAAACGACGTCGTTATACGTACCGATTGACCAAACGCTTTGAGGAGTTTGCGAGACAGCGATTTCGTAACGGTGAGGAGATTTTGGTAATTTCTCGTGAGCCAAACAGCCCTTTCGGCGGCCGATTCCAAACGAGTCAACTCATTCAAACCCCTAAGAAACTCGTTGATGTCAGAAACGGCACCATAGAGCTCCTTGAACGGGAGTTCCTTCAAGAACCAGTTCCAAGACCAAGCGGACCACACGAGCTTCAAGAATCCAAAGCTAGTGACCTTCTCCAAACTGTTTGCGATTGTCCTGGCTCTTTCGGCGCCGGCGACATCGCCTCTGGCGGCACGGAGGTTTGCGACGCCGGTGAAAATGGAGTGTGCGAGGGAGAAGAATTCTCGGAAACGGAAATAAGAAGAGAATGAGAGTGATTGGGAGGGTGTGATTAGGAGGATTAAGAAGAAGAAGACAAGAGTTGAATTTGATCGGACGGTTGTCATTTTATCTGGAGATTCAATGACAAGAGATTGCGAAAACAACTGTTGGAAAATTACAAGTTGGGGACGTTTCCTTTTGGTTGAGTCGGTTCTATTTTTATTTTATTTTTTTTAGTACTATTTTCTAGAAAATAATATTTGGTACCACACTACACATAGATTTTGGAAAGCAACGGAGGTAGAGATGGGTTTTATTTTTATTGTATTTAAATCGATTGATAGTTTTTCTATTCTTTCTTAAAAATAGATGAGAAGGGATACTCTTACTCATATACAAAATAATAAAGAGGAGTTAAGTTTAAATTTAGAAAATTAAAGTATGAATAAGGAGTTTCACCTATAAAAAAATTATCTTCAAACTAATATTTTAATAGATTAAACAATTTCATTGAGGTTACAAACTATCCCTTTGAAAATTAAGTTATTTATCTCTTTCTATGTGCTCCAAACAACTGCCCACGAAATGTTTTTGACTTTTTCACTCTTCAAATAATTTTTGGATAAATTGCAGCAATCAAAATAACACTTCTAAAAAAAGGAGGGGTATCAAAACTCTTAATAGATCTGATTAAAAGTCATTAAAGAGTAATTGGACTTTAAAGTCTTCTAGCACCCTGACGTAAAAGTGAAAATATTCTTCCTTAATTCCTCTAGGACGAACTATACAAATGTGTTCATTGGGGATGTAAGACTCCAGAACGACGTCATCTTTGTTCCTAGTAGAAGAAATTGTGAGTGCAACTTCACCATGAGATGTTTTATGTGATGTCAAAACATTGAAACTACTCTGAATTTTGGTATATTGGACATCAACTCTGAGTATGTGTGGCTCCTTTGCATTAGAGGTCTTAGGAATCATCAAAAACCACCTTAAACTTGCCCAAAAACATGAAAAACAGATTTTTGCACAAAAATGCATTACATGTGTCAGCACATACACATTTTAGACCGACATATGTAACTCAATATTAAAGGCTATAGCTTATGTTTTGTTTCTGCACAAAAATGCATTACATGTGTTGGCACATACGCATTTCAGGTCGGCACATGTAACTCAATATTAAAGCATGTAGCTTCTGTTTTATTTTGGTCAACACATACCTTTTGCAGGTCGGCACATACTAATAGTTTCACCATTATGTGTCGGCACATACGTGTTTCAGGCCAGCACATCTATTGTCCTAAATAAGGCTGTATGTTCTATTTCAGTTTGGTCGGCACATATGTCATTTTAGGTCGACTCATGCTGTTATTTTTTACAGTATGTGACAGCACATCCAAAGTTTAGGCCGACACATGCTGTTTAAGTTTGTCAATTCTGGTTATTTCCTTTACTCCAAAAATTACCTCTTTGCCACCAATCTTCCAAAACTATAAATACTTCATTCATGCTTCATTTCAAACTAGTGATACCATAAAATTAGCCTGCATTTGCTCATCATCTTCAACCTCCACCCTATGTCTACACATTGACAAATCACACATAATAATCTTTTGTTGGGGTTCCAGCTAGGTGAAGGCCTGATAAAGTCCAATTAGTTTCTTGTGTAGCCAAAATATTGGGTTGAGATTTACAGGGGTCTTCATCCAGAAAAACCGCGGGTTTATCCTCCAAGACCGAGTGAAGATTTTGGGGTTTTTATGTAGGACGCTCAAGAGAGGATTGTGACGTTGTGAAAGCCTTTGGAAATAAAATACGCAAAGGACCCTTTAGAGATAAAGAACTCAAAGGAAGTAGCAGAGAACGACGAATCGAATTGAATTCTTGTGGAATAATCGGTGCCATTGATCATGCGTGAAAGCTTTGGAGATAAATAACACAAAGGAGTAGCAATATCAACAAGTCAATTCACATCCATTGTTGTTTTGGTCTTACTCAAGATCAAAAGAAGAAAAAGGGTTGAATCGACATTAGAACCGGTTGTGTTTGTATGGTTACTCTGAACACTTTTCTTGTATATCGACTTTTTGCATAGTAAGAAAGTATCTTAATCCCACATTGGAAATTAGGCGCAGACGTACCCGCACGCAAGGACGAAAGTGGGGAACTGCGTGAACAAATCCTCGTGTCGATCTCTCTATTATCTCTTTACTAGCTTTATTTTCTACGTATTATCATTGAAAATAGCATTACTAAGTAATTAGTTTAAACGAGTAATAACGTGATACTCGATTAAAGGTTAAATTCGATTATTGCGTTTGTCATTCCATAATTGACTTTGCATATTCGAGTTCTAATAACTAGGTTTGTATAGACGACTTTTGTCGATCCACATCAAAACCTTCCGCGTGCACTCTTTTTCAAATAACTTTAAAACCCAAATTTTATTTGGTGATTTTGGTTTGAGTGTCTATTCACCTTCCCTCTAATATTTACGGGATAAAACTATGATTATTGGAAAGCTTGTATGTAAATTCATGTGAACTCTTATGATAAAGCTGTTTGGGAGGTCATTCAAAATAGACCTACACCAATCACACATGTTGTGGAAGGTTATACCTTACCTAAACCTGGAGCACTATGGGATGATGAAGATAATAAGAAGTGGTCACACGATTGGAAAGCGAAAAACATTTTGATATCCGCTCTCGGTGTCAATGAGTTTTATCGTGTTTCTCATTGTGCAACCGCTAGGGCTATGTGGGATGCTTTACAAGTTGCCCATGAGGGAAATAATAAGGTCAAACAAGCTTGAATTAATACACTTAATCAAGAATTCAAACTCTTTCGCATGAAGCATGGTGAAACCATTGCTTAAATGCAAAAATGGTTCTCACATCTTATTAATCGTTTAAACTTACTAGGTAATCATATTTCCAATGTTATTGCTACTAACAAGGTTTTGAGGTGTCTTACTAGGAATTGGTAACTGAAGGTTACAGTCATCAAAGAAGCCAACGGTATTACAACTCTTGTTCTCACCACCTTGTTCGGAGAGTTAGAAGAACACAAGAAAGAACTAAATTTCTTGGATGAACATGAAAAGAAGCTTGAGAAAAAGAAGAAAAAGGAGAAGGAAACAAATAAGGAGGAAGGAATGAAGTCTAAAGCTCTTAATGCTTCAAATTCTAGATCCTCAAAGAAAGAGCAAGCTAATGATAGTGATTCGTGTGATGAAGAAAACTCGGATGATGAGCAAATGAGACTTTTTGTTAGGAGATACAATTGATACAATCGAAAGAATGGTGTTAAACACTCCGACAAAAATTTTGTGAGATTCAAATGACAATCTACATCCTCCAAAGATGAAGACAACAAAAAGAACAAGGGAAAAGGTATATGCTATGAATGCCGTAAGTCGAGTCACTTTAGACCGGATTGTCCATCTCTTGTTAGTAAGAAAGGAAAAAGTCAACAAAACAATTCTAGGAAGCCTAGAAAGGTCTATGTTGCTTGGGATAGTGAAAGTGATGCCTTAAGCGAGGAAAGCTCAAGTGAGAGCGATGAAGAAGCAAATTATTGCTTCATGGCTAATCAACGACAAGGCAAGAAAAACAATGTAAGTCATTCTAAATACTCTAACGTTGACAAGTTGTCTTTTATTGATTTGAAAAATATTTTTGAAAATCTACAAAAGGAAGTAATTCATGGTTATAAGAAATTAGATTCCAATGAAATTTTTTTTACATACTTGGAATTAAAGGTTGAAGAAACCGAAAAGCAATTTGAAGCATTAAAGCTTTAGACTTGTCAAATTTGGATGAGGAACCATGTCGGTTCGGTTGGGAAACTTGTCAAATTTGGAAAAGTTCTCTTGAAACCAAAGTACACAAGGCTTCACAACCATGTGATACTCTTTCTATTAGCTCCTTAAAGATTGAAAGAACTCATAAAAATTATAATTTGATTAAGAAGGATTCTAATGGAAAAAGTAAAGCTCATCATAGATTGATTTGTCACTATTGCTGCAAGAATGGCCATACCATAGAAAATGCAAGTTTAGAAGCTTTCTAGTACCAAATGGAACTTTTCAATAGTTTCCCAAATGCAACAATAATTTCACTTAATCCCAAGGACCCAATGAGAATTGGATACCTACCACCTTTATTGACTTTACAATCCTTGGCGAGCATTAAAATAAAAACCAACCCCCTCTTTTCCCTTAAGCGAGCACACTTTTAATAATAAAAGCACCCATTCACGCTAAACAACCTAGAAGGTTCCCATCGAGTACGATGGATGCGAGGGGGTGCTAACACCTTCCCCTCGCATAACCGACTCCCGAACCCTAAGACTTGGTTGTAATGACCATGCTCTTTTCCCAAAGGTTTTATCGTTATTTCCCTTTCCCTCCTTGGGATAAATAAAATTTGGTGGCGACTCTGTGTCATTTTTCGCATAGCGACACCTGCAAGAGAACATAGCAAGATATCCCTCACCTCGGGTGGGCAATCTACTAATTTATAAGAGGGTATCCCAAAGGCTTTTAAACAAAGTCCCATGCACTAACCCTCAAAATTTTTCCATCAGAACGACGGTTTGTAAGACGGTAATCCCTTCAAAGGATGAACACAGAGTTATGTTTTAGTAACCTTCGGAATAAGGTTCTACGAAAGGTCCTCAGAGTCACGGACTCCCAGGTTGGAAATAAAGACGCCATTACGACTACACGTAAGACATAATCATCCCAAAGGGGTCTCATATGAGCGGTGGAATTCAAACCAACTCAACGAGTCCTAAGTCTCGCAAATCAGAAAGAAACCACCTTCTAATCTTAGTGATATTAGAAAGCTTGGGTAGAAAGCTTTTATCCTTACAAACCATCCCCAATAAACCCAACAGGTAACTAGGAACACAATAAAAACAATAAAAGCAAATAAAACACAAATGCGAAAAACAAATTAGGCTTGGCTTGCTAGAACTCCCCAGCAGAGTCGCCAACTGTCGCTACTCGAAAAATGCAACGACGGGGAGGCGAAAAGAAAGACAAAAGAGTCGCCACCGAACTTTATTTATCCCATGAGGGGAAAGGAAAATATCGAGAAAACTCTAAGAAAAGAAC